GAAGAAATATTCATTTTGTCATTTTTGTGACTGTTTCATAAAAATTAATTACTACTTTTAATAGATAAATATTTCATATTAAAAAATAAAAATAAAAAAAGTAAATCATCGATTACTTGTCACAGAGTATGTGTTGGTATAATTATTTGGAAAATTTCGAATCATAACATAAAACTCGTCTTCGACGTTTCTCGCAATTGTTTCTGCGATTCTCATCATCGCGCAAGCACTTATATATATATATATTCATTCAGTAGTAGAAACAATTCATTGCTAAGGTGACTCTTCGGTCTTCTTTGTTTCCGTAGCTCCAGCACGAGCGAGCACAAACACAACAGCGCCGCCTCATTAGAAGAAATTCGCATACGCATTTCAACGAACAATGGGAAGGCAAAAAGGAGAAGGCGCCAGAAGCAAGTCACGCCCTTCGAGTAGCAGGTTGGCATCGTTAAAACCTAAATTCAAATTTCGACGTCGTTTAATCGATTATTATTCCTTGCAGTCTCGCCGCCTCACTCTTGCCCTCCGGCTCCGCCGCCGCCGCCGCCGTATCCTCCGTCGGGGTCATGCGTGGACGATCTCGGCGGGGTCGGGACTCTGGACTCGACGTGCAAGATTGTGAACGACGTGAACCTCACCCGCGACGTGTACATAGCAGGGAAGGGCAATTTTAACATCCTCCCTGGGGTGAAGTTCCACTGCGAGATTCCCGGGTGCATGGTAACGGTTAATGTCACTGGTAATTTTAGTTTAGGTAGCAACTCGTCGATTGTGACCGGGGCTTTTGAGTTAGAGTCGGAGAATGCTGGTTTTGGGAACGAGTCGGTGGTGAACACCACGGGTATGGCGGGGCAGCCTCCGCCTCAGACCAGTGGCACTCCGCAGGGGGTTCCCCCCCCCCCCCGCCGCCGTCGGGTTCGGTGGTTTTGTTGGCAGCTCGCGCCTCGATCCTCCGTCTTCGTCCGAGGACTCTCTCCCCTTTGTTGTATGTGTTTCGAGTTCCATGCTGCTTTTATGCGTGTTATTTATGATTGGTGTTATAGTAGAGCATTAATTAGGTCTGATTTTGTGTTCATTATTAATATACTGTTTGGAATGGTGCTTCTGCTGCGAGTTACATGTGCTGCTTGAATAAACTGTGTTTGAATTGACCGTGTCTTCCATTTCACGTGTTTGTTTTACGGGAGTTTAATACTTGGTTGCAGGCTTGCAGCTTGGAATTGAGTTATGAGAGTAGCTAGACAGTTTGTGTTGCTTTGTGAACACTGAACAGTTTCTTTTTTTGGGGTGCATTTTCATAATGTCGGTATGTTGATTTTTCGGACATGCAGGATGTTGATAGTGAGATTGCGGTTCACTTAAAGAGGCTAGGCAGGAAGGATCCCACCACTAAGGTAATTTTGGGTTAAATTATGTACTAATTCATGAGACTACGAATATGTAACATGCTCAAGTGCAATTAGTTTTATAGTATTCTGTATGTCTCTTTTGATGCATCTTGTAAAATTCATCTTCTAGTTTGCGGATTTGCCTCTTTATCAATTAGAGAATCATAGATATGAATATGGAATGCAAGCATGCTTAAAGTGTAAATTGGGATCCGTATCGTTTTGTATTTTTGTTCTCTGGAATCACGGTGGTGCTACTTCCTGTGTTAAAATGTGGAGCTTATGAGTTTGTTTGAAGTTGAATTCAATGACAATGATAATCGTCTTTGGGTACTTTTCCTTGAATGTAAGATGTTAGATATCATAGACATGGCTGTACAATAGATGGTGCATATGATGTGATATTTTGGATGTATGTCTAATTTTCCTGTGGGTGGGATTGGTGTTGCCGTTTCCCTTTTTGGAGTTTGTTTGGTCATGCCCATGCCCTGGGACTATCATGGATTTGCTTGTCTGTTAACGGTGAACTGGATATTTGAACATAATCTGATGATTGAAAGCCTGGCTGTTTGATATCTCACTTTTATCCGTTCCATACTTCTTGTGTTTTTCTATTCTTACATCCCCCACATGGCCGGCTTATTCACTTGCTCCTTTTGATTAGACGTTCATGTGCATATCTTTTGACAGTAAATAATACATGTGATTAATTTTAGGATTGTATCAGTTAAGTGGTGTCTTTGGCTTTTGCTAGAATACATAGGGTCCTTTTCTTGGATTTGACACCTCTAAAGTAAGTAAGGGGTTTGCTCTAGTGAGTAAAGGTTTTTTTGTTTTTCGAAAAGGCAAATAATAATTTTATTAGCTAAAGATAATGGGTCTGTTTGTTTAAACTTTTTTCTTATAAAAGTTTTTTTTTAAAATAAAATAAGCACTTATTTTTTTTTTTTTACATGTTTGTCTATTATTTTTTTAAAATAAACAATTTTCTGCTTTTTTTAAGAAGCAACTCCTATTTGCTTCTTAAATTTTATTTTTTTTAAAAGCACTTGTTTATAAACACTTCTTTTTAAAGTTTAAACAAACGGATCCAATAGCATACACACAAGATGTGTGATATGTTACAACATTACATCCTTTACACTCTAGAGAGTGAAATGAGGAGTTATATCCATTTGAGATTATGTTTAAATAGATGCACATGTGTAATGAATTATATAGCTTACATCTCAACCGATTTTTCAATTGATGGTTATAATCCTCACTTTATTCTCTAAGGTAAATCTCCCACTTTAGAGGTGCCAAATGCCCTTTTTGATCCTTCCTATGTTTTTTTTATTTTTTATTTTTTATGTGCATGCTTGAGGTGGACTATCATTATGTTGGACAATGGCTAACTGCTCTTTTGTTGTGAAATTGTGTTTTATTTCCAACTTTTAGGTCTTTCCTTCTCCTTGAAAGGAGAAACTGAGTCAAACAGAATTTTAAGAAAAGGAGTTTCTATAAAAGCAGATTTTTTTAACTTTGAATTTAAATATTTTATTTTAGCTTTAAAGTTGTTTTTAAGCTCCAAAAATGCCATAAAAAGCACTACCTTAATTTCTCTTTTTCGCAATTGAATTGATGAAGTCCTGGTTTTACTTATATTTTGGGATAATGATTGGTTGAAGCTGTTAAACATGTATTATGATAACTATACTAATTCACTTATAGGATGATAAGACAATATTTGATGGAGTACACCTTATATATCTGTATCCTTGTTTGTGTATAGTCAAAATAATGTTTCATCTTTTTTCTGTGATTTTAAGAATTTTTAAGAAATACGTTTTGCCAATACATTTCAATCATATGTATAAAATTATCATTGGGGCATCATGGTGAAGCTTGTCTATATATGGATGATTTCTTTCTCCTTACATTGTTTGTTGCAGTCTGTGACTATCATGACGAGTCCATTTATTATTTCTACCAGTATTTTGTCATCCATAATTGAAATATATCTAATTTGGATGTAATGACTAGGCAGTGATCACAAGAATTTTGGTTGTTGATAAATCTATTTTCTTATATATCATAATCTCACTGGCTTCTTATTTTTTCTTTTTAATTTTTTTAATGTTTTTTAAACAGCTTAAGGCATTGGCAGCTTTATCTGCGCTGCTTCAACAAAAGTCTGCAAAAGAAATTGTTCTAATAGTTCCCCAATGGGTATGGAAATTTCTGTCTTATATATACTTGCTTGTCTCTGTATTCCCTGCATCAGTTCTCTTACCTTTTATATGAAGAATATCAATGTTGAATAGTAAACAGATTGTTCGTTTTTGTGGTGGTTTCCCCTTATAGAATAAAAGAATTTTCATTCCTGCCAATGGCCTAACAATTTGTCATAGATTATCAGATTTTTTATCACATAAAATCATTATGATCATTTATTGAAAACGGAGTCAAGTTTACCCACTTAGAGTTTTATTCTATTTCCATTACAAGTTTGCTTTTATTCAGTAGAAACCTGAAACCTTAATTGATTTAGGTCCTATAATTTTGCATTTGTTTCTGTTACAGATATCGTGAATATATTACAGATATTGTGGATACATATATTATGGCTATTATCCTCACTATCAATTAGGGATATTAAAGGACCTCGGATTGATTACATTTGTAACAAGCTTGGTGCATATGATATATATGCTCCAGCTTGAGGGGGAGTGTTACAGATATTGTGAATATATTACAGATATTGTGGATACATATATTATGGCTATTATCCTCACTATCAATTAGGGATATGATTAGATTAGTTTCCATAATATTAGAGATTAGTATCTCTATCATTTATTGTATTCACTCTATAAATAAGATTGGTATGTGTACAACAATACACACAATTCCTGAATCACAACAGTTTCCTTTGTTAGTCTAGACTCAAGATCCAATTACTCATTGTCTCTTTCCTATGTTATTTAGCAGTCTTTAAAAAGGCTGTCAGTATTCAGTAAATGGCTTCAATTGTTCTCTCACTTTGGTTTGAGTTGGAAGGGGCTCATGTTCTCCCAATTCATTATAAGATCACAAGAAGGATCCTTCCACATCCTGACCTGTGGATAGGTTCTACTTTAAGGCTTGTAACCTGTTAGTGAATAGGACAAATAAATACAAATTATTATGATTTAGAGAGGTTACATGAGTAAAATGATGTCATCATGTTCTATCAAAAACCAATTCTTCTTCTCCCTCTAATGATTGGGTTATCATTTATTTGATCAACTTCTCTAACTGAGGCTTCTATTGGTCTTCTCACACATCCAAACCATCTTTTCCTAAATAGGTGTAAGTCTTGTTCTTTAATACACATTCATTACTGATCTATTTGACTTCCATTACTTTGTGATTATCATGCATCTTTGTTATATGGTGGATGTGACCCTTTTATTTTAAATCCATTTTTGTCAATCTTCGAAGATACTTATTGAATATATTTCACTATGTTAATTGTTCTTATGTAGGCATTTGAATATAGAAGGCTGTTGCTGGACTACAATAGGGAGGTTAGGCGGGCCACTCATGATACCATGACTGCTCTTGTTACTTCTGTCGGGTTAGAACATCTCTGAGGGACATTTATATGTGCTTCTTCTTGCTTGCTCAATTGTATAATTTAATATTTGAACATGCAAATTTGAAAAATATGTTGCCGGACATTTGTGCATGCTTATCTGATTTGACAATTGCAAATTAATTCTTTAAAGCTTGGGGATATAGTTCTCTAATGTAGCATGCTTACTATTCATACTAGTTTTAATTCTGCCATTTTAATTTTCTGATTGGTTATATTGTGGTTTGTGGAGAAGCTAAGCATCTTCTTGACAAGGTATCAACATTTTATCTACCTGATAATAACAACAAAAGCCTTTTCCTTGTTCCTACTTAGTGCATGTTTGGGGAAACATAAAATCCCAAATTTGAGCTGTTTTTGTGGGAAAAAGCTATTTGCAAAAAAAAAAAAAAGCTGTATGTTTGGGACAATAGCTTAAATTTATAAACTTTTTTTTTTCTGAAAAAATAAGATGTTTTTATAAAGCTGAAAATTTGAAGCTTATGATTATTTCTCAGCAGTTTTTATTTTTTTTCCATTTATGCTAATTTACTATATAAAAATTGATTTTTTTTTGTTATAATTGATTGGTGAAATAATTTAATTTTACCCAAACAAAGTTACCCTAACAAACCCTAAACATCTTAAAATAGCTTATCAGCAAATTTACCCAGACAAAGTTTTATTTTGATTATAATTGATTATAACAATAATCGATGCCTCATATAATTGATTATTGAAATAATTTAATTTTCACAGCTTTCCCAAACACACCCTTGGTGGGGACTTTATAGTTTACCTATTATGCATTAAAAAGTTCTTTTAATTGGTGTACAGTGTACCTATATGCGGTAAATTGCTTTTCAACTAGTTTCTAACATCTAAATTTTGTTGAATAAGATTAAATATAGTTATTTACTTGTGTAATTGGCCAAATTCTGATCCTTCCCTGAAGTTTGGATCTGTTGGAGTGAACATCATTCATGTAGTCTGAGTCTGAGATTTAGAGTTGATTTCCCTTCCCACACCCATCTCAGGAGAGATTTAGCTCTGCATTTGAAGACTTTGATGGGACCATGGTGGTTTTCTCAATTTGATCCAGTTTCTGAAGTTTCTCAGGCAGCAAAAAGGTCTTTGCAGGTTTGCTACATTGGTCATTACAATTATGTTCTATATTATTTCTTTTCATCTCGGTGGAAAAGGTTAGCTTAAAGTATATGTAAAATTGTTTACAACTGGTTGTTTCATTCATGCATATGTTTTTAACCTGGTTCTGTCAGGAACACAAATGGTCTGTCTGGAAGCATACTGTTATATTCTGTGTGGGAGATGCGTGATTTGCCATTGTTTCACATCTACAAGTATCTTCTTTAATTTATGATAGTTTTCTTTTGGAATGAAAGAGAGCCATAAAGTAAATGCTTTCTCTGGAATTTGTTATTTAGTATTAATAAGTGTCTGTAAATTGAGATTTTTCCAGTTAATTGATAAATTCATAGGTATAGTTCTTCAAATATAATAGTGGTGTGGTGAGATCAAGATGCTATTATTGGTTTTACAGCATATCTTAGAGGTCTTAGTGGTTTCCTTTTTTGTTCTTTTGAAATATATGTTTTTTCTGGTGAGCCAGGATGTAAAATTTTCTAGATAGTAGTGTCATATCCTGGATTGTTATAGTTGTACTTGCTCTTGAGTAGTTCTTTTATAGATGCATAAGGAATATATGGTTTAGTGTTGGAAATGAGTTGCAGTGGTCCTAGACCTGTGCTATATGTGATTTGCAAGGCATGCTGCAAGTCCAATCGAATCAACAATCAAGCCTTGCTTCTGTTGGTTATTTTGAGCTATTGTATCAGTTTGTGATGTCAGGATAACAATGATCCATCTGAAAAATTATTCTTTTTATGTATTTCAGTGTAAATATTAGCTCAAAAAATGATAAGGATTAATCCCAAGTTACTTTGAATAATATGTTCTATATGATTTATGTTGAATTGATTATCATGGGCAATATTTTTTGAAGTTGAGTAAATGTTTTTCCTATGCAGCCCCATATGCATTCTAAACACATTCACATGCTGAAAAATATGTCAACCCCAACTTCGTTGGGAAACTTTTAACTTTTACAAAATGGCACGATGAGATTAGCAATATGAAAGTAGGTTTTGTACTTTTCCACCAACACTTTAGTTATACTTCCAGGCTATGCTTAAATATGCTGCGATAATTTACATGAAAAAACATGAATGTATTAATATGCTTAAATTGAAACATGTAAGATTTATTTTTAAAGTATCTTAAAAATGTACATGGATGTCAGAATGCATGCCTTTATTTATTATAGTTTATAGGTATGTTGTGTTTTGTTGCACATTCAAGTAAGTAAATGAATTGCCTAGGTATATTCTGCAGAAAGGATTTTAAGCTTGTACTTGCACAGCTTTATTACCAAATTTGTGCTGAGATTTGTTTTAATCCTTTGTTTGATTGTGACAGGCAGCCTTTCCAGCTCAGGAAAAGAGACTTGATGCTTTGATTTTATGCACAACAGAGATATTTATGTATTTAGAAGAAAACCTAAAACTCACACCTCAAAATTTGTCTGACAAAGCTGCAGCCACAGATGAGTTGGAAGAGATATACCAGCAGGTATATAATGAGAATCACTTTAACATTCCTGTAAATCAAAAGTATTGGATTTATTGATTTGCACTGGTTCCGCTTTTAGTTTAGTAAGAGTATGTTCTAGATAATAAACTATAATGAGTGGGTGTCTTTTGGTATCACAAATACTATATAATCTGTTTTTTAATGCTTTTATGATGAAAGGATTTTAAAATTATGGTAGAGACCTTACTACCAGTTTATATAACTATTTTGCTTCCTGGTATGGTATGACTGGTACTGGATAAATAATTACAAACTGTTTTTATACAGATATCTATTTTGAAGTTTTTGATATAATCTTTTGCTTAAATGTGTCAAACTATCTTGGTTCCATAGAAGGAGAAAAGAATTTATCCAAAAATAGGAAGAAATTACCTTACCAGACTTTTTCGTTAAACTCCTTTACTGAAATTATTATATTTGCATTAAGGTGGTTCGTTATACTTTCAAAATAATTGAGTAATATTTTATCTAGAAAACTGATTGTAATACGGACCATGAGATCCTATCCTGATCTCACCAAAGTGAGTTAGAAGGTATGATTGGGACCATGGTTGTCAATCTCTAGTGACAACTCGTAAACTCGAGTTTACGAGTTTACAAGAGCTTACCTGTACAACTCGGAGGTAAACTCGTTTTTTAGTGAACTCGGAGCAATCTCGGTGAACTCGGGTAAACTCGTGTAAACTCGCGAGACTACCTCCGATATTAAGAGATCACCGTTTTTTTTTTCCACTTACACAAAACGCATGTTTTGTGTTGTGTGTTAGGGCACTTTCACTCTAGACCAGACCTCTCCTACTCTCCTCTCCACTCCAGACCTCCGCAGCGCCTCTTCCACGGCTCTCCTCCTTCGCGCCTCACCTCCTTCGCGCTTCACCTCCTTCGCGCGCCTCACCTCCTCCGCGCGCCTCACCTCCTTCGCGCGACACCTCCGCGCGTCTCCTTTCCTCTCCGCGCGACACCTCCGCGAGTCTCCTCTCCTCTCCGGCGAATCTCCGCTGATCTATCATCTCTGACAGTGGCTCTGTCTTCCCCGGCATCTGCAGATCTGTCTTCTTCTAAGAGGGAAGGCAGCGGCGACGGCTTGAGGAAGGGTTGCATTGCAGGAAAAATAATTAGGGTTGGAATATGGGCCAAATGGGCCAAGTTTTATTTTTTGTTTTGATTTGGTTAAGAGGGTTTTTACTTCATTATTTTTTTTTGAAAGTAACCTCTCTTTATTAATTATTAATTATTATTATTATAATTTAGATAATATTTTAAGTAATACAAAATTTAATATAAGACCTTAAATATTTTGTTTTCTTAATTTTTTTATTTTGTTTAACTACTATAAATTTTTATTATTAAAAATATTTAATGTATAAATAGTTATATTTTTATTTTTATATGTATATTATTAATTATTTGTATTATAAATTATCTAATATTTATATATATATATATATAAATAAATTAGAATAGTGTAATCCTGCTATATTTAATAAATTATTTTATTATTAATATAATTTGTTATTTTACTCTTTAATATAAAGTTAAAATGTTTAATTATTATATAATTTTTAATTATTTTTATAATTTTGTTTATTGAGTAATCTCTTACGAGTTTACGAGACGAGTTTACGGAGCCTTCACGAGATTACGTAAACTCTCGAGATTGACAACCTTGATTGGGACCACTAGTTATAACAAAAATTGTAAGATTGTGAAATTGTGATCCTGACAACCTTCGGTGAGATTTAAGTATAACCTGCTTTAATTAGACACATTTTTTCCTCTTCTTGGACTAATATGATTTTTAACTAGATAACCACATAAATGAATCACTTCTTGTCTGTTTGTCTACCTCTTGTCTTGGCTAATAGTATCTGATTGATTGCTGCATGTATATAGTTCAATTTTTATCCTCTATTCTCATCCTTTTTGATCTTATCTGATTGATCTTGTCTATTAGAAGATTTCAAATTTCCTATTGGACCATACATTTTTCAGAAGTTTCATCTCCCTTTTGATCTTACAGGTGATATCATCAACATTGTTAGCATTGGCCACACTTCTTGATGTTTTAATTTGTGTACAGCAAGAACGACCTGGTTTTGAGAACATAACTACTGAACCTAAACATGCTTCGAAAGCAAGGGTGGCTGCTGTTGCTTTTGCTGAAAAGCTGTTCAAAGATCATAAATACTTTCTAGACTTCTTGAGGTCACAAAGGCCTACTATTCGATCAGCTACTTATAGTGTATTGAAGAGCTTAATAAAAAATATACCACAGGCTATTAATGATGCAAATATAAAAACTGTTTCTGGTGCAATTCTTGGTGCTTTCAATGAGAAGGATCCAACTTGTCATCCCTCAATGTGGGATGTAATATTACTTTTCTCTAGAAAATTCCCAGATGGTTGGTCTTCCATAAATATTCAGAAAAGCATACTGAATCCATTTTGGATTTTTCTTAGGAATGGTTGCTTTGGTTCCCAGCAGGTTTCATATCCAGCTTTGGTTTTATTCTTGGACAGTGTGCCACCTAAATCTGTTGGAGGGGATAGGTTTTTTCTTGAATTTTTCAAAAACTTGTGGGTGGGAAGGAGAATTTCTCTATCTGCAGATAGACTAACATTTTTCCAGGCTCTGAAAGAATGTTTTCTTTGGTCATTGAAAAATGCTTCAAGGTATAACTTTTTTCTTTTAATTCTGGTTGTGTAGGACCTATTTACTCCATTTCTGTGTGCCCTACACCTGCAAAAGACAATATTTTTTGTGTTCCTTGTCCCTGTTTTTAAACCTGTCTTCTGCTTGTATCAGATATAATGATGGAGGAGACTCAATCAGTCATTTCCAAGTTGTTCTTGTTGATAATGTTCTTGTAAAGATTTTATGGAAGGATTTCCTTACAGCTGGAAGCTTGAAAGCTAATGACATAATAAAATCAGGAAAAGCAACAGATTCATCAGAGGAAACTATTTCTCATAACAAGAAGATGGATTTGCTAAATACGAAGTATCCAATGCCTTATTTGCAAGAATTGGGGAAGTGCTTTGTTGAAATCCTTTTAGGTATTTATATATTGGATAGCAATGTTCTATCTGTTTTCATTGAGGAACTTGAGGACAATTGCATGGGTGCCCTTCAGCAAGAAGGTAATGTGGACGTTGTTGAACGAATCATTTTGTTCATGTTATTGCTGGAGAAACATGCTGTGCTGAAAGATGCAATTTGGCCGTTGGGCTATATTGTGGGACCAATGTTGGCGAAGTCTTTTTCAATCATTAGATCTTCTGTAAGTTAATAATTCTACAAACTTGTTTGACACTTTAGTCTATGTTACTTCTATTCTGTGATTTTAATTATTGCTTGGATAATGAGAAGTTTGATATTGACACATCACACCTGTTTTATCGAGTATATTTAATAATTTCATCTTAATCAGAACAGAGTTTCTATTCCTACTTTTTCTCAATTTGTAATAGTTTTCTGGTATACTTGTTTATATTTTATCTATGCATAGAATTAGTCTCTTTAAATGAATCTGGGTTTGATGCGCTCTGTTGTTACTCTGTAGATTTTTTTTAGGTCTTTTGAACAGAAGTTATTTTTAAAATCTAGACACAAGTGGTAAACAAAATAGATTATATTTTTTGGGTCATCAAAAAGATTGATTCTATAAGCAATTAAAATATAAATAATTGAAACAGCAATATATGGGAATCAGTTATGATGTCACCACTGTTCTTGATTATCCATTTGAAAAATAGAATCTAAAATTTCATAGGGTTTTGGTATTGTTAAACCATATAAATTTCAAATGATTACTTTAAAAGGAAATGATATTTTCTACCATATTTTTCCAGACTCACCTTGTTTCTTAAATATCAGGATTCACCAGATACTGTGAGACTTCTGTCAGTTGCTGTTTCAATATTTGGACCACGGATGATTGTTGAAGAAGTCTTTATTAAAGGCAAAAGTCACGTTTCTAGTCATCTTTCATATGATGGGGATAAAGTAGGGGAAACTGAAGACTTTATGCAAATATTCAAGAATATATTTGTTCCTTGGTGTCTGCAGTCAAATAGTTGCTCAACCAGTGCTAGGCTAGAGTTGTTGTTGGCACTGCTGGATGATGAGTATTTCTCAGAACAATGGTCTTTCATTGTCAACTATGTGATTGGCCAACATTATTCAGAGTTCCAACCAGGGTTGCTGGATGCTGACCATGCAGCAACATTGGCCATGCTCCTTGAAAAAGCAAGGGGTGAGAGTATGAAAAGGAAGGTGAAAGATGGTTCCAGTCATAGACAAGGCTGTAACGCTGAAGATTGGCATCATGAATATTTTGAATCATGTGCTATTGCTGTTTCTCGATCTCTGCCTCCTTTTAGCACTTCTCATGTGCAGTTTATGTGGTATGTTAGTTCAAAATTTTCAGAGGCATGATGAAGTAATGTATTGCAATTTTTATGAATTTACCTTTTAAAACTAAACATTTCAATAATATGATTGATACATTCTTTTTTCCTTAAACCCAAAGTCCTGTTACCTTCATATATTTCGATCTTTGATCCCCATATCTTGCATGGAACAGATGAGTAATTTTTGAAATTGGATACAGCTAGCTAAAATGGAAAGGAAAAAAAAAAGGGTTAAATTAATCTACTGGTCCGTATATTATTTAGGATTTTTTAAAAAGGCCCTTATAAGTTTGTGAGGTGTCTCTGGGCTAGTGTTCTGTCGAAGTTAGAAAGAATACTCTTGATCCCTATTTAAATGTAAAGACTTTTTTGAAATTTTCCAAGTGGTTCACAGACCAACTGAATATCAAACTAGTGATTTGGTCTCTGGACTATTTAGGAGTTTCAAGGTGGTCCTTGTTCTTTAACAAGAATCAAATTATTTTGTCCAACTTTGATGGAATCCCATTGCAAGCAGCCAATTAGAAATGATTTATAAGTTCACTGGTAACAAACTTTAGAAGTATAAGGAACTAATTAAAAATTCTCAAATAGTTCAGAAACTAACATTTATTTAAGCAAAAGGAAAAAAATGGATGGGAAATGAAATGCATAAGGTGGCTACATGTTGCTAATTGGCGTGATTATGTACGTGTTTGTATTGTGTATCCATATGTTTGTATATAATTCTTAGAAAGTTGGTTTGGTACTTAATTCAACTCTACAAAATAGGTTTGTAAGGTGAGAATTACTCGTCACTTATATACACTAGTATGGGTTTATCTCTGGTTGAACTGAGATCTCCAACACCCCCCCTTCATGTTGAGACTGGACATGTTGAGTGTAAAGTTTGTAGTATTGGATATTTGCGAGTGGTTCAATAGCGGGTGGCACAATAGGCCTAACAACAAGAAACGCTAGGATAAGCTCTGATACCATTTTAGAAAGTGAGTTTGAAGCCTAACTCAACCCTACAAAATTAACTTTTAAGGTGAGAATTGTTCTTCACTTATATACACTACTATGGTCTTATTTCTAACCGATGTAGGATTTCCAACAATAATCAAGTCTCATGACAAAACTGCCACTAACACTGAGTCTATATTTTTTGTTGGGTGGGTTTGGGAATGAGGGAAAGGAAATCATGGGAGGATTCAATTGACTGAGTCTACTGCTTTGTTGTCTCTTGGAGAAAAGGATTTGTGGTGGTTAGACTTCGATAACAGCTTACTTTTCCAATATTAGATGGTGGGAGTTAAAGGATCCACATAATTATTGTAGAAAAATTAACAAAATGTTTCAAACCTACTTTCTTTTGATGTGTAAGAGCAAAATGCTAATTCAAACAGTCCATTTTAAGCATCATCGTTACTATGAACCTGCAGCTAACTATGCAAGATATAGGTAAGTGAATATTTTTTGTAATTTATTACAATGTCTGAAAATTGAGATGGATAATATGCATCTGAAGCTGCTAAGGCTTATGTGAAAAAGAGACATATGTATAGCTGGTAAGGAAGTGTAATATATGAAGTTGAATAGATATGTACTTAATATTATTTTGATCCCTTTCCCAGAGAAATACAAGATTGATGACTTGAGTTAAGTAGTCTTCACTCTGATCTTATGCTTTTGACCTGCAGCTCTCTTCTTGGTGGTTTAACAGAAGGAAGATCATCTTTTCTGTCCAGAAATGCATTGATTCTCATCTATGAGGAGATTTTCAGGAAGTTACTCAGTTTTGTTCAGGTTTCACCTTTCTTTTGGGTACAGAATTCAGCTTCTATGTTAAGAAATGATTCAAAGATCTGTGTAGAACTTGATAATTCTGTCAACATTGTTGAGATAGCTCAATTTGCTCTTGAGATACTTGATGGTAGTTTCTTTAGCTTGAAGACTCTTGATGGGGAAAGTGGACTTGTATCAGGAATTTTATCTACAATTTTTCTCATCGAATGGGAGTGTAGTTTAAGTAAAGCTGTGGATGATTCACTTGATGACAATTCAATGGCAAAAACTAAGGCCAGGCTAACATTTGGTGAAAATGTGTGTGCTTTCTGTAACAAGTTAAATGATCAATTTTTGAGAAGTCTTTGCTCAGATAGCCGCAAGAGATTGTCAAATATCTTAATTCAGTCAATAAGATCTGCAATATTTGCTGAAGACAGACTTATTAATGACAAAATTGCATCATTATGCTGTACATGGGTGCTTGAAGTTCTTGAGCGTATCTGTGGGGATGAAAATGATGAACAAAATCTGCTACATCATCTCCTGAGTAAGGATGAATTGTGGCCTGTGTTTGTAGTTCCAAATTTTAGCTGGACAAAGGTATGGGACATATTTGGTTATTTGTCTCAATTAATATTTGTGAGTTTATCTTTTATTTTTGAATATACAATGTTGTTTATAAAATAGAATGGATTAATGGAATGGTCTGTGTTATTTATTTTGCCATATGTATTGGAAACAAATGTCTTAGAAAGTGAATTGAGAGTCTAATTCAACTTTACAAAATTGGCTTGTAAGGTAAGAGTTGTATCCGATTTATATATTATTTAATTGTTTTATCTCTAGTCGATGTAAGATTTGAATTTTTTTCAATACATTCCCTCACATCCAACACTATTGGACTTGGTACGTAGATCAATGGTGGGTGGCCCTATAAATGATTTAGGATAGGTAGGACTTGAGTTTTTCTCCAATACACCTCCTCACGTCCAACAATATTGGACTTGGTGCATGTATCGATGGTAGGTGGTCCTTTGAGAGTGGATCTAGATAGCTCTAATACCATTTTAGAAAGTGGGTTAGGAGCCTAATCAACCTTACAAAATCAACTTGTAAGGTAAGAGTTATATCTCACTTATATATTCTTTAATTGTCTTATCTAGTCGATGTGGAATTTAGGTTTTTCCCAATAAAATGTATTGCAAGACTACATCAATGTGGTTATAGCTTATTGAGCTATAGTAGGAGGCTTCACCAGGGGACAAACCATGATAGCATATAAGACTTCTGTGGATTTTATAGACTCTTAGAGTATAGTCAGAATTCTTGCTATTTCTTTTTTCAATATTTATTTTGTGAATGCTCAAAACAAATCTTAATGCCTCCAAAACAATGGTTTATGTGCTGATGAAGCTAGTTATGGCTTACTTATGTAACATGTAGTTAAATCTCCTGCCCAATATATAGAGAAAATGAGTTGCTACTTTTAACCACCAATTTATACCAAATGCAGGCTTCAGGAAGCCAGAATTTTGTAGCTTTAATTGACAAGTTAATCTCAAAAATTGGGATTGATAGAGTTATTGCTGGGTGTGAAATGCCTAATCCATCTTTGCTTGAAAAAAGTCAAGAGGTTGCATCTTCTGCTTGGTTAGCTGCTGAAATCCTGTGCACGTGGAGATGGCCAGGAAGCAGTGCTATGTCTTCTTTCTTACCTTTATTGAGTGCTTATGCCAAGGAAAGTAATTCTATCCAGGAAAGCCTGTTAGATGAAACATTAAGCATCTTGCTTGATGGTTCCCTTGTTTATGGAGGCAATGGCACAAAAAGTTCAGTCAGTATGTGGCCAGTTCCAGCTGATGAAGTGGAAGGTGTTGAAGAACCATTCTTAAGAGCACTTCTTTCCTTTCTGTCTGCTTTGTTCGAAGAGAAAATATGGGGGCCAGAGAAGTCATTGAATCTGATAGAACTTCTTGTGAATAAACTATTTCTTGGTGAAGCAGTAAATACTAATTGTCTTAAGATTCTACCTATGCTTATAAATATACTTTTTGAACCATTATATGGGTATGCGGAGCCTGGTATGGGTGTTCAACATTGTTCTTTAGCAGAGGAATTCGTGAAAAACACTATGATAGATTGGCTGGAGAGGGCCCTAAGTCTTCCACCTTTGGTCACATGGAAAACAGGAGAAGGTAAATTTCTCTCTCTTCAGATCAAAACACCACATGCTAATTCACCAATTAGTCCTGAATAAACATTTTTATCAGTAGGATAGAGATTTCACTAAATTTTTTGTGTATGCCTGTGTATATGGCATGTGCTTTTTTGTTATAGTGCTAATTGTTCAGTTTGTATAGTTGTAACTGTTACCATGAATAATTTTTATCCAACAAAAAGAAAACTTGGTACGAGAGACTACGAGTAATGTATGGTATTAATGAAATTGCTTGTGACTCTTGTAGACATGGAAGATTGGCTTCAGTTGGTGATTGCCTGTTATCCTTTCAGCACAATAGGTGGTCCTCAAGCATTAAAACCAGCGAGAAGCATCAGTTCTGATGAAAGGAAACTTCTCTATAAATTATTCCAGAAGCAAAGGCATGTTTCTGGTGGATCTGCTATGTTCATCCAGCTTACAGTGGTACAGATACTGCTATCGAAACTTATGATTGTTTCAGTAGGTTATTGCTGGAGTGAATTCAGTGAAGAAGATTGGGACTTTCTGTTGTCTAACCTAAGGTGTTGGATTCAATCAGCAATTGTTATGATGGAGGATGTAGCTGAAAATATAAATGGTCTTGTTGATAGTTCATCTGATAATTTAAATGTGATGTGTCAGAAAATTGAGAAAATTATTTTGATTTCAGATCCTATTCCCATAAAGATTTCAGAAAATGCCCTTTTGTCTTTCTTACTTCTCCTTAAGCATTGTAAACACCAACAAGCTGAAGAAAGAGATTATTTAAGTACATTTAAATCAGAAAAGTTGGATTCTGTTAAAGATCGGATTCTTGAGGGTGTCCTTCGCCTACTGTTTTGTACTGGCATTTCTGAGGCGATCTTAAATGCATGCTACAAAGAAGCTGCATCAGTTATTGCTTTGTCACGGTTTAAATATACCCACTTCTGGAATTTGGTAGCCTTTGGGGTTGTTAATTCTTCATCACAAGCTAGAGATAAAGCAGTGAAATCAGTTGAATTTTGGGGACTAAGGAAAGGGTCTATTAGCTCTTTGTATGCTATACTTTTTACTTCCAAGCCAATTCCTTTATTGCAGCTTGCTGCATATTTTGTTCTTTCAAATGAACCTGTTTTAAGAATTGCTGTCCTTGAAGATAATGCTTGTAACTCAAACATACATGCTGCTAATGATGAGGATATCAGCCGTCTTGACATGTCAATAGAAGAAAAGGTCCATTTGAAAGAGGAATTATCTTTCATGGTAGAAAGGGCACCTTTGGAGGTTCTTGAAACAGACTTACTTGCACACCAACGAGTAAGAATGCTTTATATGGGAATTAAGTTAAATTGTGCTTCATATGTCATTTTTTTTAAGGTTTATTTATCCATTTACTTTGCCATTTCATTGTGCGTGGTAATGATCTACAAAAAATATTGTAGGTAAATCTCTTCCTTGCTTGGTCTTTGTTGATATCACATCTACTTTCATTACCTTCATCATCATCTCAGAGGGAGAGACTGATCCAGTACATACAAGACTCTGCTACTCCAGCTATTTTGGATTGCCTTTTTCAGCATATTCCTGTAGAGATTTTCATGGTTCCGAGTCTGAAGAAGAAAGATGCAGAGCTTTCTGGTGTCTTATCAGAAGCTTCAAGTGCTGCAACCTGTGCCACCACAACCGGATCACTCTTGTTTTCTGTGGAATCTCTATGGCCCATTAAATTGGAGAAAATTTCATCACTTGCTGGAGCAATATATGGTTTGATGCTCCAGGTTCTTCCGGCCTATGTACGTGGCTGGTTTAGTGACTTGCGTGATCGAAACACTTCTGCTGTCATTGAATCCTTTACAAAGACTTGTTGTAGCCCTCCTCTCATTGCAAATGAATTGTCTCAGGTATCATGTAATTTCTTGTCCACATAAGAACTGGTTTGTTGATAAATATTTTGTTGAAATACCAGAATCCGATATCTAAGAGTGGAAACTTTTTAACCTAGAGTTGCATGATCAATACATATTTGTTGAAGAGGGAAATGAGGAAAAAAAGCAGAAATTAATTAAATGTTGTATTGTGATAGTAAGGTAACTCTTTCCATTTTGTATTATTATAAAATACAAACCTATGCTTGTTATAAACATGAACCCATGATTGAGTGTAGTTCCCTCAATATTCGGATTCTAATTTGCATGTATAATTGTATATTCATTACCAGTACCTTGTTTTCTATATATGTAAACATCTTATGATTCTACTGCCCCATTCAAGGGTCGCATTAACAAGGACTATAAAGGAAGTTATATGGGTGAAGATTCAGAACTTCAATGCTTGCATATCTGTAAATTTTTATTTAGTGTTTCATAGAGTGCAACTGCCAACTATATTTTGTGCTGTAACATTTACATAGAATCCATGTCATAGTTACAGAGGATCTGTTTTTGTGTGGCCTAGATGGTGTATCTGAAGTTCTGAACACTTTGTTTATGCAAGAACCCAACAACATTGTTTAATCCTTGTAGCCAGCCCACCTAGTGGGAAAAAAGGCTTTGGCTGGTCTTTCTTTTTTTTTTTTGTGGCATGCAATTGATGTATGAATAGCGTAGTTCTGATATATATATCTGCCTATCATATCCAATGCAGATTAAGAAAGCCAACTTTCGTGATGAGAATTTCTCAGTTAGTGTAAGCAAATCAGCAAATGAGATTGTTGCTACTTACACTAAGGATGAAACAGGAATGGATCTAGTCATTCGTCTCCCTGCATCTTATCCACTAAGGCCTGTAGATGTTGATTGTACAAGGAGCCTTGGGATAAGTGAGACCAAGCAAAGGAAATGGTTGATGTCGATGATGCTATTTGTTCGTAATCAGGTAATTTGTTATGGATTTAGTTCAGTCTTACATTTTGTAGTTGGCTTCTGCTGTCCACTTTTGCAAAATGCCTAGAATTAACTTTATGTAGAGTCAGAACTCGTATTAATTACTCTTTTGTATGCATTGCATGATTAATTCACGTAACAGTTCCATGAAAAATGCTTTCCTTTGATTGACTACTTTTTTAGTTTATACCAGTATTGCTAAATGCTATAAACCTTTGTAAAATTCAGTGGACAATGGATCAATGTGAGAATTACTAATTTAAATGTCAGAGAAGGTTTGCACTAAAGTTAAAAATTCCTTTAATGGTCCTGCAGAATGGAGCTTTAGCAGAAGCTATAGGAATTTGGAAGCGCAATTTTGATAAAGAATTTGAAGGTGTTGAGGAGTGCCCAATCTGTTACAGTGTAATCCACACCACAAACCACAGTCTACCTCGCCTTGCTTGCAAGACATGCAAACACAAATTCCATTCTGCTTGCCTTTATAAATGGTTTTCAACTTCTCACAAATCATCTTGCCCATTGTGTCAATCTCCGTTCTAAGGTTACACCTGGAGTGACGACTTTTACCAATTTTGCACTGAAAGTAGTGGATGAAGAGAATGTCTCGGCATACGAGAATCAACACTGGTTTCCAGCATTGAGAATCAACCCTTGATTAAGGCAGGGATGACTTGCAAACTACAACTGGTTAAGGAAACAAACATGATTCTAGATTCTTTTCTCCGCCAAGTTCATTTTAAGCAGACAGCGTTGAACTCCTTGAAATTAAAAAGGAAGATGGACACAGCGGTTCTGCGGCAACGATCCAACAGGGTATATCATATTTTTTATCGAGAGAAGTGTATCCGATTCCTTTGTCGTGTAAAATTTATCCTCTCTGGTTAGATTTCTTTGCCCATGCCCCATGGTTGTAATAATTAATGTTTTGCAGTGTTTTTGTTCTGTTTAGAGGTTAGTTCTGATTAAAGCAGGTTGTCTGAATCATAGTAGCTTGTACATCTAGTTTATTTATATTGTCCATGGAATCACTAATGAGTAGTGAAGCAAAATTTGCCCGAATATGAGTAATTGTGCATCCAGGGACTATTTTTATTAACCACGAGAACATTGAAGAGTGACTGAGCGAGTTCTCTTCACCAGATGCGTAGTATGCATTGTCCACACGTTGGATTTTTTGTCAGCAAAATTTAATACAATGATTCAGCAATGCTTATTGACCATTGGTTTGCATATTGCTTTATTTTAGGGTAAAAGCATTTTAGATTTTAACGGCAGTTTTGTTATTTGTGTGTTTTTAGAATTGTCAAATTTGTTAATCATTGTTGCAAGAGTAATGGCTAAAAATCAATAAAGATTAATTCAATTTCTTACACCTGTTTTTTAATGATTATTCTCATTACATGAAGAAAATATTAAAATTTTCAATATATTTAATGTATTTATTTTATTTTATTTTCTTTATAAAGTATTAAGACTTGTAAGGAGATATTGAAAGAAGATATAATATTACTGGTTAAATTACATTGTTAGTCTCATATAATATTTAATTGAGAAGGGATTCATTTATTTTGGGAGTAAGTTTATTTAGACTTATTTTATTTAATAAATTATGTTCTATAATAAATTTTAATGATTCAATCGTTGAATTTAAAATTTTTAATGCACAGTGAGTTTGTAAATTTTTAAAAAGTTTGAAAATTATTTGATAATTTGTTTCATTAATTTAAATTAATATATAAAATGATTTTATAATTATCTATCAATTTAAATTAATAAAATAAGGTATTAAATAATTTTTAATTTTTTAAAATGCGGAATTAATTTATGTATTAAAAAATTTAAATTTATTAATTGAATTATTAAAACTTAATATAAAATATGAGTTATTGAACGAAGTAGAACTAAACTTACTCTTAGAGTAAATTGATCCTTCCTCTATTTAATTTATGATTTTAGTTTCTTAATTTGTAATTTTGTGATTATAGTCTTTTAATTTTATAAAAGTTGTAATTAGTTTCATTGTCAAATGTTTATCTGTTGATTATTGAAATTTTATCATGATTTTATATCAAGTTAAAGTTAAAAGATATGATCATTATAATAAGAGTTAATCACCTATACACTACTAGTGTAAAGTTTTTTTACACTGGTAATTAATCAGAGCTGTTAATAGTATATTTTCATCTATTCATTTAATTAAACTAAAATAAAAAAGGTACTATTAACGACTTTGATTGACTGCTAATATAAAAAACTTTACACTGGTAGTGTATAGGTGATTAACTCTTATAATAATATATACATTGAAAAAAATTAAAACATTTGAAGCGACTTGTAAAGGGAGAGGGCATTGTATAATAGAGCAAGATGGGAAGATGATAGTATCTGCTGGACACCCAGCCAAATGATAACAAATTTTAACAGACTTCAAATGCAACTATCTGCTGTGCCATATATAGGGACAGATAGGAAGATTTGAATCATTAACTAAAACATCTAGCTGGTGCCTGTTTTGGCTACAAAGTAGGAGAATTAGCATTAAACATACTTATTGTTATTTATTGTTATCAATGTAAATTATCTCATTATGGGGATTAGTTACCGGTAAAATAGGTAAATAGTTATATAAATGATATTATTGAAAAAAAATATACTGACTTTAGAATGAAATGAATCTTCTGTAAGAAGGTCATTGCCTAATTAGGTCAGCATATTAACGCACTAAGCTTGTAAGTAAACACCTACAATCATATATAAGTATATGCTATGATCGCTAGTATAACTGATATTCCACTTCTTGCGGCAAGCTACGAGATCTCTCCGATGTGGAAACTCAACTATGGAAGCCTCACCGAAACCCACTCTCCCACACCCGCTCTCTCCAAGTACCTCACCATCAACCAATCCAAGTCAAAATACAACGGCGAATTTACAACAGAAGTGAAATGTAGTACCTTGTGCAACGGGGAACACAAGTGATGTGTGGAAGTGATTATAATTGCGTGAAACTACGAACAGTAGAGTGTGGAGCGCGAAGGATTTGTTCATCTAATGTGAAGTGCAGGAGAGGGATTCTTAAGAAGTGAATATGAAAGAATTTTTCCCAATTGGATTCTCCCTATGCCTCTTAATAGTTGATTCCTTACTATCATTTTGCGTCATTCACTTTTATTTTTTTAATTTTAATGTCATATCAAAAATATTGATAATTTTTATTTAAAGAAATGATGTTTAATATTAAAGCTATAATACTAAGAAATATTGTTAAATATTAAACCTATAATGACGTATCAATGAGAAATGTTGTTTAATACACATTTATTATATTTGGACCTAGTTTTTCATAAAAGTGCTATCAAACATTTTTTTATTATGAGTTTTTCTTTAAATTTAGAATAAAATTTTAAGATCGATCATTAAAGAACTGATCTTGAAAGTGATATAATAGCATTTTTGTAAATAAGGTTACAACTTTTAGGACTGGTTACATTTTAACTGATCTTAAAAGTATTTTTATCTTTCAAGATCGACTAAAATGTGACCGATCTTAAAAGTTGTAAAGTTATTTACAAAAATGTCACCGCGTCACTTTTAAGATCAGTTAAAATGTGATTGATCTTAAAAGTTATAACCTTATTTACAAAAATGTTATCGCGTTACTTTTAAAATCGATTATCTAATAATTAATCTTAAAACCTCGATCTTAAAACTAATTTTGTACTAATGTTGCATGCCAAATTCTTATACCAAACTTACGAAATTATTCTACTTTCTTTATAATCTTAGGTATAGATAATCAAATCAGGTCTTAAGATGAATATAAGAATTGTATTTCAAATGAGATAAAAATCAACTTAGTAGTATTCATATAATTTCACTTGTGAAGATTAAATTTCTCATAGGTTGTAGTTGTATATGAGAAAATATTTTTTTTATGCATAAGAATCTTGATAATTGTGGTGTTTGTCAGGGGCGGAACTTCGTTGTGATTGAGAGAGCCACGACTCCCCCAAACTTTTCTAAATTCTTTATATATATATATATATAATATTTGTATATTATCATATTATTAATTATAATAAAATAAAAAAAATTGAGTAAAAAAATTAGAAATTTTATTATTTTTATAAATAAAAAATTTAATTTATATATAAAAAAATTAATTTAGCACCCCTAAATTTCTTATTCAAGTTTTGCCACTAGTATTTGTGATTGTGAATTGCGAGATTATCATTGATATATAGAATGAATGATTGATGAAATTAATTTGTAAGCTTAAATTATAAAATATGGATATAAACATTATTTTAACTATAATATATAAATATGAGAATTGTGATATATATGTTGTGATGAGCAAATGAGATAGGCAAATGTGAATTGTAAAAGACTAAGCATGAAGCTTAGTCATCCGGTAAGACTAAGTGTGGAAATTAATAAGGATGTTATTATGACAAGAGCAAGTATATATATGATACTTATCTACTTGTATGAAAGAGGATTATTTTTTTTTTGTTATTCTAATTTACTTATATTATTTTATAAAGTAATTTCTTTTAAAAATATCAATTAAATATTAAAATTACATATAAAGACATTTATATATTAAAATAATCATTATTAATAAAATTAATTAAATACTCATGAATATTTATTCACAATGCAAGTTTAACACACATTTACTTATATGTATGTGTGTGCATGTGCATGTTTGTATGAAATTTAGAATTTTTTTACAAACCTTTTCTCCTACTTTATTAATTAAAAATTTTGTCTCATATTATTATAAGAAAAAATATTTATTTATATATTTATGTCAATGTTACATTAATAAATCAATAACATTAAATAATATATTAATATTTATTTTCTATTTGAATTCTAACTTAATTATATATATGAAAATTATACTAGTTATTTTTTAAAAAAATTTAAGTAATTATCAAAATTGTGGCATATTATATTAAGTTTTTTTACACGTATATATATATATATTAATATACATTTGAAATTTATTTTTAAAATATCTTTAGAAGATATTATAAAACAAATGTCTTTTATATATTTTTTTATAAAAAAAAATATATTAAAAACAAAACCCTATATTTAAATTTTCAATTTACTTAAATTGTTATATATGTATCCATTTTTCTACATATTGTATTAATTTATATTTATAGTTTTCCTTTCTAAATCATGGTTTATATTAATTTTTATAAATGTTTAATCAAATAAAAAATTACATCATGCTATATAAAAGAAATATTTATTTATATATTTGTATAAATATTGCATTAATAATATTAAATGATACATTAATACTTCTTGTTTTGGGTTTAAATATCTCATTCCTCATTAGTCGTGGGGTTCATGATATATACACCTCCTTTTTTTAATAAGTACACCTCCTATTTTTAAAAAAATAATTAAAATTTTAAAATATTTTTAATTTTTTTAATTTTTAATTTTTTAATTTTACATCTATTACATTTAATTTAGTTATTTTTTTCATATATCTTCCTTCCTTTTTTTAATTTTTACATGCACTTCTTACATTTCTTTCACCCCACCTATTTTGGTAGCATGTGACAACTAAAAAAAATGTGTGTAAAAAAGAAAAAGAAAATAGCAAATTAAAAATTAAAAATATAAAATTAGAAAAAAAATAAAAAAAAAATAAAATATTTTATAATTTTTTTTAAAAATATAAAAAAAGTGTATATATCATAAGCCTAGTCGTGGTATTATAAAGAAATGATGGGCCAGGCCCAAGTTGAAATTTTAGAATTTGCATGAAAATGAAATAGCCCCATAACAGCACCATTGTCTCTTACTTTCGAGTCTTCTTGGCTAGGGCACCACCGCTACACTGTTCATTCATTCACTCTTCTCTATCAGAAGCAGAGAGAGAATGCTATCAGGGGACATTCCTCCCAACCAAACCATTTACATCAAAAATCTCAACGAGAAGGTTAAGAAAGATGGTAACTTCCTTTCACTCCCCTTTGCTCTCGCTTCTACATCTGCAATTCTTTTCTTGCTTCACTGTCATTTTTGAACTTCCATATGTTTCAATTTTGCGTATTAAATTTCTTAGTGAGTTTGGGATATAATTTGAGGCAGGAGAGTAGTGTTTTTCTTCTGCTGAATTAGGATAGCTGTGATTCTTGTATCTCTTTTGCTGAAATTTTATTGATCATTGTGAAGGGAAATTTAATGGAGTGGGCGTGTTTCAGTTTTACAACATGGAACTTGAGAAGCCAATATAAGAAGTGGCATTTCTTTTATGCTTGCACTGAATTTGCATCTCCCATGTTGTAATTGGATGTGCACTTTTGCTGTTTTTGTTGCCGTGATATTAGGGTTTTAGAAAAAAAAAAATTGATTTTGATTTTGCTGAAGTTGACGGAGTTAACTTTGTTTTCTGTTTTTTGGTCCGATGTGGCAGAATTGAAGAGATCTCTGTATTGCTTATTCTCTCAATATGGAAGAATTTTGGATGTTGTTGCTCTAAAGACTCCCAAGCTTCGAGGTCAGGCATGGGTTTGTTTCAGTGAAGTCACTGCTGCTAGTAATGCAGTGCGGCAAATGCAAAACTTCCCATTTTATGACAAACCTATGGTAATTAAGCTATACTGCTATTGTTAGTTTCTTTACAGTCATGTTGATAAATCTGTTATATCTTGTACCAAACTTTTTGGATTCATTTTTAGTTACCTGCACAGGTTATCTTGTTATCTTCTTTTTTATCTCAGATCTTGTGGTTTCTCTTACTAGCCTATTATGGATTTATGTTTGCACAGGTTATCTTGTTATCTTCTTTTTATCTCAGATCTTGTGGTTTCTCTTACTAGCCTATTATGGATTTATGTTTGTGCCGTAATATAGCTGTTTGTGAGATTCTTATTTAAATATTTTGTTAAATTTTCTTTGATCCAAAATTCTATTCTCCTGTAGGCAGTATTTTCATTATCGAGAATGAGATTGAGTGATATGTGGATTGTCCTGTGTTCTTTTATTTTCCCCCCTTTTGCTTTGTAGTTGTTTGGTATTTTTATTTGGGTTAATCTATCTTTCTATTAATAACTTGCTTCTAAAGGCTTTCTGTGTGAATAATTTGATGTAGCGAATTCAATATGCAAAAACAAAGTCAGACTGTATTGCAAAAGAAGAGGGTAGTTATGTTCCAAGAGAAAAGAAAAAGAAACAAGAGGAAAAAGGTGAATAGCTGTCATTTATTATTTCCTAGTCTTCCTCATTTTTTTAATTTCAGAACTCTTGCATATTGTATGTACCATTATTATCTGTTCCTGTATGTAGGCTTGAAATGGCCAAACAATCATCATTTATAATGAGATTGTAGCATTGCAAAACTACCCATTAGAATTTAGAAGTAAATAGAGGCATCCACAATGCAGTTATAAAGAAGAAATAGTTAGTTTTATTTAATTATATCAACATTACAGTTTTCTATCTTTGGAGAATCTAACACTATAAAAGCTGTAAAAATGTTTAAAATAGTTGAAAGTATGCAAGTGATTATACTATGGAGTGAACCCAATGGTCATTTGTCGGCATCATTTATGATTGCAACAAATGTACTTTTTGAGACATGTTTGTTTCCCTTACCTGGGAATTTTAACAAACCTATATGACCCTCAGATTTCTCAGGCCTGAAAATAATATGATTGAAATATTCTGTTTTAGGGTTGTTTAGACTTTACAGTGAAGCTTGTAATGGGTTATGACATGGTTGTAATACCAAATTAATTATTTTACAACATGGGATTTCCTGCTGCTGCTTATGCGATGTTAAATATTTTAAATTTCCTAGTACTGTGTGTGGAGGATGAGTAATTAACCCACCCCTCCCCCCAAAAAAAATGAAAAATGAAAACCGCCACCCACCCTTCCACTGTTGCTAGCTTGTGCACATGGACAATAAACCAAAAGGATAAAGCCATCTGGCTTTTCAATGTAAATAAATTTATATTTCAATAACATTTTTAAGAAAACAATATCAAGACTCCATCATTGGACATTGCTTTATAGGTTCCATGTTTCTGATCTTATTGCATAAGAATCAATATCGGTTCCTTTGTTGATTTAGTAGTAATTTCTTATTTTTGACTGACATGATTTTACCTGTTCAGCTGAAAGAAAGAGGCGTGCTGAAGAAGCACAGCAATCTTCTGTAGCTAATGGAACACACAGTGCAAGTAATGGTGGCCCAACTGTAAGTTTCTTTAATCAATGTTGCTTATAGTGCCTGATATTGTCTCCTCCCCTCTTAACAAAATTGGGCCAATAGATTGATGTTCTCATCTCATAAGCATGAATGAAACTAGCTAATTAAATGACAACGGTTATTGTCATATATTTTTTTTGTTTCGGTTTAACTGTAGGTCAATGGATATGATGGTAATGTATAATGCACTTATCTATTCTGAAAATTGCACTAAGATTGAACATGTACTATTATCTGCAGGCATCATTCCGTCAAGGACCGGGTGCCCAAGAAACAGCTGCTCCTAACAATATTTTGTTCATAGAGAATTTGCCTCATGAAACTACTGGTAGGATGCTTGAAATGCTCTTCGAACAATACCCAGGTTTTAAGGAAGTGCGCTTGATTGAAGCAAAGCCCGGCATTGCATTTGTTGATTTTGAAGATGAGGTGCAATCATCCATGGCCATGCAGGCTCTTCATGGCTTCAAAATCACCCCTCAGAATCCCATGATTATAACCTTTGCTAAGAAGTAGCTAATTTGTTTGATGCAGTCTGTATTTTTGTAGATCTTTAAGAAACTAATTGCAGACATTGTAAGTTTACAGGAAGTTAGAAACCACCATCAAGGCAGAGTGAGAATTCAACCACATTTGTGGAAAGGTTGAGATAGTGTTATAATGTTTATTGATTGTATGTGGTTTAATTTTTATTTTATCCGTAAAAATGTCCTTTCGAACAATGCAAGCTAGGTTCTTGAACTTTAGTTTTAGTGGAAGAGTTAAGAAAGGAAATAAAAATTGGTGACAATATCTTACAAAGTGCATGATTTTCACGTCTTAGACGTGCGTATAATAAATTTTTGCGAAAAAAATTTAGAATACATGTTGAAGCTTGATGAAAATGCTTTCCAAAAAAATTTCCACCCAATGAAGATTATTCCTATCGAAACTCTGATGGGTAAATGTAAGCCACGCTAATGTTGTATATTACAGGCTTTTACCCGAATGTTCATATTGTTCATTTTTTATTTATTTTATAGTTTTATTGAATTTCCAACTCTTCATGTTCCAAGGTAGAAATTTCCTTTAGCACTGGAATAAAGTAAGAAGAGAATAATCATATTTTATCATCTCTATAAATGAAGCCAATACAATACAAGGCTTAGCTCCCAAGCAAGCTAAATTATGTAATATTTCATTATTATACCAATCATACTTCTTGCATTTTGTCCATTTATCCAAAAAGCACGAGGATGCGCACAGGCATAAAAATTCTCCGTTTCCATGAATGTTCTCTTTCTTGTACTTCATTGATGCCAATATTGTAGAAGCAAACAGTGTAATGGATGAAATAATGTCTGTAGGTGGTTTGTTGGTTTTGTCAAAAGTGTTCTTTGAAGTATAGTATTAAAATCTGAACAGTAGTTGACTTGATCGGTTGTATATCGAATCAATAAATTATTAGTTGTATCGAATCGGTATAAATAAAATTTTATAATACCACTTCCGACCCTAAATTCTAATTCTAATTATAAGTAATATAAGAAAAATCATCGTGATTAAGAAAAGTAATTAATATAATTTTTTATAATTAATTTTATTGTAAATTTAAGTTTTATTTTAAATATACCTTTTATTTTAAATAATTATTATATTTAATGTCAATTATAAGTGAATGTATAAGAAATAGAGTTAACAATAAATGAATGATATAAAAAAATTAATTATGAGTAATTTTTAAAACTAATGATTTGAAGTGAATGTTAGTCTACAAGGGGCCGTTAAATTGTTATGCTCTTCAAAAATCATTTCTTTGTAAAAAGTAAGTTGCTTAGAAGTCGTTGCTTCTGAGTATTGGTGCTAATTATATCTTTTGAAAACGGCTTTAGAAGCTAATGATTCTAAGTATTGGAGTTTAAAGTATTTTTTTGAAAATAATTTTCAAGCTTAGTTATTTACAAAAAGTCTATGTAATAGTATGAGAGAGAATCTAGCAACATTAAATAAATAAGTTTCCTTGGAAAATATTTGTTCTTTATGAAAATTTGTTGCTCAAAAGTTGTTGCTTCTGAGTGTTCAAAAGCTTAGTTTTCTCATGACTCTTTCTTCTGATCAATTATAAACAATGACATATTATGCAGCAAATATATAAGGCATTAAAATAAGTACAATAAGCAAGAAGATAGAGTTAGAGAGATTGCATACTGAGTTTTTATACTGGTTCACTCCAATCTAGGCTACATCCAATCCCTATACAACCTTTGGGGATTTTTCACTAAATCAGCAACAACTATTTTGATTACACTACTAACTACCTACTGGATTTTCAACTACACAACACAACCACCTATTATTTGTGTTCCACATTTAGCCACCTATGAAGTTTCTTCCTCAACACTTGTTGAGACCACAACCCTCATAGTCACCTGCTATGAGTTTACCCAACCAATTGGCTGAAACTTTTCACACTTTCCTACACCTCTAAATACCATATTTGGGTAAGGTAGGTCTTTTATAGATTCAGGATTTTGTATCCTAGCAATTGTTAAGATTACAACTATCTTTCCTAGCCTAGGAGCTTCTACTAAGGAAGTTTCACACTTCATTTTTTTATTATTATAAAACTAATACAAATGTTCAAGTGAACATCTATGAAAATATCAAACTATAAAGCAAGGTTTACAACTTTGAAAGCAAGTATATATTTCTCTTTAGTTTTGCTCACTTGAAAATGAACCCAATATCTTCCTTTTATAACGTTCAAAATATGTCTGTTGAAAACAACTTGATTTTTAAGCAATGTTGACATCAACTTGTATTTTTACTTTAGTGTCGTCAACATATCCTCTAGAAGCAGTCTACTTTTGAAGTTTGCTTCTAAGCTTGCCTTTCTACTTCCTTCTGAGTATGCTTCTGAGTCTACTTTCGTGCAACCTTCTGATCAGAGTCTTTAATATCAGGCTTTTGAGAAGTTGAGTTTGAATAAAATCTTTTTGATGTAAAGGTTCCATTAAAGAGACTTCTGTACAAAGTCTTCAAGGCATCTTCCCTGAGAAAAGATGTCCAACTTGAACTTCCTTGAATCATCAACACAAGATGCTCATCTTCTAGCTTAGGATAGACATTGTCTCTTGGGCTAATAACAATCCTTAATTGATATTGAGTCTTCTTTTAAGTTGTCAGTAGGATGTCTTCATGAAACTAGTAGATAAATATATCATTGATCATTAGGAATTGGTTTCATGTTGTTTCGACCTCTTCAACACAAGTTATTCCCAAAACATTACAACAACATCATTTGATTATGGATAGATCAACATTTCCATGTTGAAGAGATAATTTTTCCATGATAGAGGTCATATTTTCCCACGATTTCTTCATAAAAAATGTAGAAAAAACTTCTATCTTTCCATGGCCACCATGTTTCGCTAAAACGCATGTCTATAGCTCCATATATGCTCAATATATTGCATTGTTTTTGAGTTGCAACTCAAGATGATGTTTTCATCTTGATTTCGATATTTGTCCATGATGTAAGCTTTTCTAATGCATGACTTCTTCATAAAGGTTATATGTAATTGTACTAGCCACAAAGTTTGTCTCAAGCTCATATCTACAACTCAAGTTATGCACAAAAAAAAAAACAATCATGTTTTGTAGTCAAGACCAACAATATTTGCAACTTCTTTTACAATTATGAGCTCTTGGCTTCTTCATGAAGAATGTATATACTTCTTTTGACTTTTCATAGTCACCAATATCTCCTCAAATAAATTCCTAGAACTTAGGATATTATATAGATAATCTTCATAGTCTTTCCTTCTAAGCCATTTGAGTTCTTACTTCTAAAGCCTCATTATGATATTTATGTCATATTGATTCTGAGTCATATTCTAAGAATCATTTTAAATCAGTCTTGAGTTTACTTTAATTGATGTTCTGAATACACTAAGTAAACTCGTTAGTAGCATAAATATTGACATTTGTTCATATGATTTGTCATAATTAAAACATTCGGTTTGGACTCAACATGATTATTGCTTATAATTAAAACTAAAGAAAAATTTAAGTTATTGCTTATAATTAAGACTGAAGGTAGTATAATTTAAGTATAAACATATAATGTTTGTCAATTAATGTTTGGTAAGCAGAAACCACATCCTACGAGCGTAGATTAGTCCTTGATTGTCAACTTTAAGACATTATGTGGACAAAAAAATAATTTTTTTCAAAAATATACACATAAATATAAATGGTATAGTAATGAAACAAGTTGGTCTCAATTATTACAACCACGACATGCTCAGTCTCAACAACAACCAGTCTAGTATGCATGTTGGGAAAAAAGTTTAAAAATGATGGATCAAAGTGGCCTTAGCTCAATTGTCTAGTGGTTCAACTAGCAAATTATTAAACATATAGCATAGAATATGATTAGCATTCATTATTAGTGCGTGCGATGCATGGAGCTTTGGAGGACGAGGTTGTTCTCGCACGTGGGGGTGTCGAGTTTGGCTCTGAACACTAGTACACAAAGGGTCTTTTACGTCGCCTTTTTTGAGCCTTTTACGTTGGAAAAGGTTCCGTCGTTAATACGGGAGACGTAAATTTACGTCAGGGATTCTCACAGACCGACGTAAAAGGGACAAAAAATAGCCACAATTTTATGTCGGACAACGCCATGTCCGACGTAAATTGTGGCTGTTTTTTTTTAAAACGTTTATAAATTTTTGATATACCCAACACCTGCATATAAATATAGTCCAAAATACCAAATCTAAACCAGGCAGTCCAGAATAGAAATTCAAATTATATTTCAAAATTGAATGACAAAAACTATAAATCCTATTATCCTAAAAAAGCTATAAAACATATGTTTGTCAATGCTATCTAACTAACTAAACTAACTAACTATCAAACTATAAACATAATATCTAACTAACTAAACTAACTAACTATCAAACTATAAACATAATATCTAACTAACTAAACTTAGAAAAAAAGTTGTCCATTGTTCTCTTATCTTGAGCAACTCATCTTCGGGCAATGAAGATGGATCTTGAAAGACCTGAAACATTAATTTAAGTGTCATTAATATGCAATGTTAATTATCCTAAAGGTAAATATAGTTAAATAAATTTTGATATGAATTACATGCGCCCAAGAATCAATAATACCCGTAGAAACTATGGCTCTCATCCAATACATGATGTAATAGCCACATTCAAACGAGTCTTGTTGCTTATTACACTAAAATGAGAAACAAATAACTATTATTTCCAAAGTCAATAAATTTAAATATTATTGATTGTATGAATTAATTTGCTAACCTTAGGGCATATTTTGTGATGCCGAGCTCAGAGCTCGGCTTCACAATACGGACAGTAGAGATGCATTGAATGTTAAAATAAGGACACATACCTAATCAAAAGATCGACCTTCTGTATAGATATGCTGTTACTTTGTTTCTCATAATTAGAATATGAATAGGTGATATTACTCTTTTGGCAGACTTAACTGAAATTTGGACATATACATAACAACCCAAGAATAACGAGATTCTCAATTATGTGAAATCTTTTAGAAACAAGATTGGAGATTCGGTGCATGGTTCATATATAAATCCAGAACATGATTGAAATAGGTTAGTGTAACATGTCTCTGAGATAGAACAAAAACAACAAATGGATTGAGATTTAGCTGATTATACATTAACAACCGGACCCTTGAGATGCATTTAATAGGGTGGATTTCTTCTTCTTCTTTTTTA